GGGTGGAGTTGCTCCAATGCTGAGCTTTCTAGAGTCATGCCTTGGCCTAGTCCTGAAGAATGAATGGCAATTAGGAGAAACAGGAACTGGGATCATGTAGGGAAGAAGAAAAGGCCTTCCAGACATGCGACCAGGCACAGAGCAGGGACATGGTTTGTCCCAGGTCACACAGTTTGTCTAAGACAGTGCCACCCCCTACCCCACCCCACCCCAGGCAATAGTATTCTCTGTAGTTTCTATTCATCCTTGTGGCAGCCCTGTCCCTTTGACCTGTAGGAATTGCTGGAGCTCACACTCCTTCCACCCTCCGGCTTGCTCCTCGGGAGGGTATTGATAGTGCACCGCTCGATGCTGTGAACTGGTCCTAGACAAGAGCCTCACCCAGTGCTGGCACTGAGACTTGCTGGCTTCTGGTGCCCTGCTGTAAATCCTGTCCCTCTAAGTCAACAGGTTTCGCTCCTGAGTCCCTGACTCTCTGGCAGCCAGCGGAGAGGGGCCCTCCTTTCGTAAATTCACCCAGTTAAATCTGGGATATCATCTGATACATTTTGATCCCTGCCCTACCGTCACACTGATACCAGGAAAGCCACTGGAATCTCGTGAAACACAGGGAGGGCCCCGGGATTGTGCAACATGTCTGGACTACAGTCCAGGGAACACATGGCTATGTGGCCAGTTGAAGGGAAAGAGGGAGTTCTTAAGGAGCCCTTGATGCTTTCCACCTGAAAAGGGGCCTCATTCTGAGAAAGTTAAATATGCACCCACTCGATGGCCCCTCCTTCCCATGTGTAGACCTAAGATAAATGATCCCTTGCATTCACAAAATAATATGTATATGATGTGCCGTGGCAGCTGGATTCATAACAGCCCCCAAACAGAAACCTCTGAACACCTCCCCACAGAAGAATGAAAGAAGAACTTCAGAGTTTTAGTGTATCCGTATCGGGAGTGCTGTTTAAGGAATGAGCTACGGCTACATACACCAACGCTGGTGAATCTCAAAAACAGACACAAAGAGAATGCTGGGAAGATGGCTGTGTTCCAGCCCACCCCTGCACGCAAACATGAAACGTGAGTCGGAAATGGTGATCCGTTCTGAGAGGCTCTGACTCAGGAAGTGGAGGAACTGCAGAGAATACAGACAGGCAAGACTGAATGACCCAAAAAGGCACATCTGGTAGGCAAATCACCTCTCTCTCCGTCTCTCCTCCTTCCCCAGCTGCTCGAGCCAGTGGCTGCAGTGAGCTGGGAAGCGGCCTCAGTGGAAGACCCTGCTTCCCTGATCACTGCCCCCTGCCTGCAGAGGCAGGACCCTGGGCTTCCACTCTAAATCAAAAGGCACACAATCCCCGAAGTATGTTCTCTGATCTGGACACTGTCAGCTGCAAGCCTGCTGTGAATGGCTATGGGAAGTCTATAAAGTGGGACCTGCATTTATAGGCACACCCTCCCTGCCTCCCTGTGTACACAAAAGCGCAGGCTTTAAACAAATGTACAGGACAGATTTCCCACGGTGTCAATTTGGGTCTGTCTGCTCCCACTTTCTGGTTGGTGCTGGGGACTGCAGCTGGACAATATCACCTGCCAACCTCCAGTGAATTGCAGCAGAAGGTACCTGCTGTGTGCTAGGAAGCTGGTAGCTTGAACGGAAGATACACCCACAGCCAACAAACTATGACGAGGCAGGCTCTGATAGAAAAAGCCAGACCCCGCCGGGGTGGCTCTGTTCAGAGCATGACAACCCTCCCTCACCTGGGCACTGTCACCTACAAGCCTGCAGTGAATGGCGACAGAGGCACCAGGCGTGCAGTTTGCTCCTGGAGTCAGCATTCTGCCTGCCTCTCCGAGCAGCCCAGAGCCCAGGCCTCCAAAACCAACAAACAAACTTCCTTAGGGGTCCGTTGGGATCATCTCCCCTTCTTCCACTGGCACTGAGAACTGCTGGCTGAGGTTTCTGCGTGCTAGGAAAACTGGATTTCCACATGCAGAAAAATGAAACAGGATCCACAATACACAAAAAACCAATTCAGACAATTCAGAATAGATTAAGGGACTGCATGCGCGAACTAAAAGCATAAAATTCTTAGAAGAAAATAATAAGGTCAACACTGTCAGGCCTATATTTTAATAATGGATTATCTAATATAATAACAAAAGCACAGACAGCAAAAGACAAAATAAATAAATGAGGTTGCATACAAATCAGAAACTTTGGGGGAACAAAAGACTTCACCAAAGAAAAAGTGAAAAGATCAGCGACTTACCAAGCGATGTCTTCAGAGACTTTACATCTGATGGGAATCTCAGAACACAGCACCAACACCCTCACAACAAAAAGGATGCCCCCACTGCAGCGGCAAGGGACTTGAACATATAATAGCCAACAGACATGAAAAAATGTTCAGTGTTATTAGCCATCAGGGAGATGCAAATCAAAACCACAATGAGATATCAGTTCACTGCTATTGGGATAGCTACCATTAACTAGACAGTAACTAAGTAACGTGGAGAAGTAGAAACCCGTACCCATTTCTGGTGGAAAGGGAAAGGTACAACTGGTGTGGCAAACGTGTGACGGTTCCTCAAAACACAAGCACCCGGCCAACCCTGCGGCCCAGCAAGTCCCCTGCGAGGTCTTTACCCCAGAGACGTGAAGCGGGGACTCAAACGGAGCCTTGTAAAGTAAGTTCACTGCCACACTCACTACAAGAGTCCAAAGGTAGAAACAAGCTGAACTAGGTGAATGGTTAAGCAAGCCGTGGTGCACTCATGGAGTGGAATACTGCTCAGCCCAGAGGACAAGGGGAGTCTGCACACAAGCTCCAAGACAGATGGAGCTCGAAGACAGTATGCTGAGCGAAACAAGCCCATCACGCAAGGACTCACATAAAAAGACAAGAAATGGTGTCCCGAGACCTACGTTTGTTAGGATTAGTAGGGATGTCGGGAAGGAGAGCAGAGAGGGGTAATGCTGATGGAAAAGTCTTATTGATTAAGGGTAGGGTTGCACAATCAATTATTGTGATTGTTGTCAATAAGTTGCACATCTATAAAAACTTGAATTGGCAGAAGTATGTTTTCCTCACCATTCCCTACCCACCCACCCCCAAAAGAGTGACTGTTGTAAACTCCCCCAAATCTTACAGGATTTGGTTCCTTGGTGTGGAGATTTAGGGTCATGGCTTCATAGGACATCCCAGTTCCTTGGCCTACCTGTGTGTGGTGCTTCTGCTCTGTCCCCTGCAGTTTAAAAGCTTGCAAATGACCATCCAAGGCATGGTGGCTATTCTTTAGTCAGCTGTAGCAACAGAGGAAGGAGAACCCAGAATAGTAGGGGGGTGTGGAGTTGCCCTCCCCAAGCGACTGCCTTATTTGCCGTGAGACCAGAAGAGCTGGCTGCTGACTGACTACCATCGCTGAACATTCGAATCAAAGATTACCTACAAAAGTCCGGACTGAAGGGGGGCGGGGGCGGGGAATGCAGAATAGAATTGCAAGCTCACATGGGCCTAGAGCTATGGGTGGTAGATGAACTTCTGAGATCATCTTAAACCTTAAATAATAAATGTTAGTTTAACAAGAAAAAAGCTCTAGCTGGAGCATTATGCTCTTTTAAGTACTGTCACTATGGGGTCAAAGGTGCCGGCAGCACCAGGAAAGATTCGATAAGAACGTTGCAGGTTAGAGAGTTCATATTAATGAGAGAGGAACAACTCAACAACGGAAGGGGACAATGGACGCTAAACCCAAAGAATACCATGAGGGTCACAAATTAGACATGGGGAAACCATGGAATTGGTACGTTTTGCTGTGTATATTCACAACAACCAAATAAATAAATTTAGAATATAAAAAAGACCCCAAAGAACATGTAATTTCTAGCAGGTAAAGTACAAGAACAAGCAAAAGCCATTGTGCTAGAGATCAGAACAGGGCTTACCTCTTTTCAGACTGAAAAGGGACATGGGCGAACTGTGGAGGGTATTGGAAAGGCTCTTCATCTGGGTGGTGGCTACTGGGATATATTTAAAGGCACCCAGCTCTGCTGTTTACAGCTGTGTATTTTGCTCTGTGTAACTTACACTCCAATAAGACACTGCCTTCTCGTTTGTATTCAAAAAGAGAGCAAGAGTAGAAGAAAAGCCCTTGGGGGACAAACCCCTGACGAGCTCTTGAAGTGATCGAATGTCCACTGTCTTGCCCAGAAAGGGCCATCAATATGTGACCAGTACGAAGAATGGTGTAGGGAAGGGCCGTCCCATGGACCAGTGCAAGTCCTCTTCTGAAAGTGATGAGAAATAATGTTGAGGGCACACATGGTGCTGCAGCACCGTGGAACAAAGTGGGATCCAACAAACTATTGAAGTGAGATGTTGTTTAAACCTTTTTGCTGTGGGTGCTGCCCCCAGGTGCTCTCAGGTGCTCCCCCTACTCCCAGGTGCTCCTAGGGGAGGATTGCGATAGGAGGGTTATTTTGTTTTGTTTTGTTTTTGCTTCTCTTCTCCAAGAACAGTTATCTCCTGCCTTTTCCTCTTTATCTTTCACTCTCCAGGAACTTCAGAAGTATGAGCAGTTCATCTTTGCAGACCACACCAATATGATCCAGGTTGAAAATGTCTATGAGGAAATTTTACATCAGACGCTCCTTGATGAGACTCTGAAAGGTAAGCAAGGCTGGTTTACCTGGTCCGGGAGCTGATCTGCTTCCTGAGATGATGGCAGTCCTCAGAAACTCTAGGAGGCAGTTGTACTCATACAGGGTCACTCTGAGTCAGAATAAATCGACTCAATGCTAATGTAGGGGTGGGGTGACCAGCTAGAGTGGCACGCCCGTGAAATGGGACAAGGGGACTTCGGCCAGCTGCCTTCTACACCAGACAAGAAAGAGAACGAAATCGGCTTTGGTGTGTGAGGGAAACAGAGCCGGGAGAAAGGCAAAGAAGGAAAGAGTAGCATTGAGCGCTTCAGGATTCAGTGTACACTCTGCTGGCCCTTGGGATGTTGTTTTCCTGAATACAAACATCATTAATCCTCTGAGGGCAGGGATTTGCAGCTTCAACTTTCAGACGTGGAAACAGGCTTAGAATGAATCCCTGGGTGAAGCTGAGGGTGAGATGAGGAGCTCTCTTCCTCCCCCAGCTGCAGACAAGCCAAGGACGAGTAGTATCCTAGCCGTAGCCACTCAGAGGCTCTCCGCTACCCCGCCCACAGTCTGGGGCAGGCGATTCTGGAAGCAGGGCTGACCCGCTGCTCTCTCAGCATGTTCCTCCACTCAGCCAGACAAAGAAGACATAGGGTGATGACACCCCACAAGCCATGCTAACATGCTGCCACCTACTGTCCTGACGGGTCTCAACTGGGATAGGAAGCTGGTCTGGGAACATCCTGTGTAGGCCTGCCCCCCTCCCATCAGTCTCTGGGCCTGAAACATCTGGTCTCTGTCCAGAAGGTCACGAGTAGCCCCAAACCTAAAGAACGCTGGCCGAGCATAAGCGCTTGGCACAGTGGGGCAGTGGGAGAGGAAGAGAGAAGTGTCTGCCGCCACCAGGCCTGGTGGCACCTTTGGGTGAATGAGAAAAGGGTTCCCTTCCTCCGGACCCTCTGCTGTCCTCTGCCAGGAAATTGTCACAATGCAGGCAGGTTGGTTCCAGCTCCCAACCATGACATCAGTACAGCAAAGGGTGCGAGCCACGGGGCTCTGCCCTGCCGTCTATTACGTGTGCAAATAGCACTCCGAAAAAGTTTGAGATGTTGTGAGACCTGCCCCGAGGCTGCTCTGAGACCCAAAGTGAGCATGTGCTGTTGGTAAACAGTGCCAATAGACTTGCTGGATACAGGGTTACCCCAGACCCCATCCTGGGAAAAATACCGTCTCTTTGACAAAAAGCGAAGCAGATCAATGAAGCGTGGCTGGACTCTGGTTTTGTGAGAACAGTTACCAGAACCGTAGGAGGCCCACAGTCCCAGTCCGTGCCGTCTGGGAGGTGAACGGCTCCCTTGGATAGGATAGTGGTGGGCAGTGACCATGCTGCGCTCTGGATGAACACGAGCCCTTGGAAGCGATGGCCCGTGCTGTGTTTGTCCCTGGGTCTTCACTGCCTGTGTGGCTGGAGTCACTGCGGCTTCGGGCGCATAGCCACCCTCTGGGGCAGCAGAGAAGAACTGCTCTGGAAGGTTCCCATGGGAGGAGGGGGCTGGAGGGCTCAAAAAAACAGCCTTTAGGTTAGCGGCCGCACCACCACGGCAGCCGCACGCTTTGAGCCGAGCGGTGCTTGACACTGTTGCCCAGGTCTGCTTTCCCAGAAGGGGATGCCATGCCTTTCTCCCAAGGCACCTCGGGTTGGCCTCCAGCCTCTGCACTTTGGATTGGCAGCCCATGCCCGTCCCCATGTGCATCACCCAGGGAGGGCTCGTAGCTCATAATCACGCCCCGCCAGTATCTGGTGATCGAATGAATAAATGAGTGTAATGCTGTAATCACGCCGGAGGTATAATGCTTGGGGAAAGTTTGCAGTGGTCTGGCCCGGGAAGACTCCTGGAAAGGCTGTCAGAGTAAGGGTGGAGACTTGACATTGAGAAATAGCCAAAGTGGCTAAGACGGAGGCGGTTGGCCCCGGATAGAATCGGATCATCCACGTTGCCCAGGCCGAGTGCTAATGTCACATTTTGTGTTCTGGTCCGTCTTAGTGATCAAGGAAGCTGCTGTCCTGAAGAAACACAACTTATTTGAAGACAACATAGCCCTGCCCAGCGAAAGTGTGTCCAGCCTTACTGATCTGAAAACCCCCACGGGGTCAAACCAGGCCAGCCCTGCCAGGATTGTCTCGGCCATTCTGCCAGGAGGACCGGGGAGCGGGTCCCCGGGCAACGACGCGTTCCAAGAGCCCGAGGAAGAGAAGCAGCCGGGAGCCCCTAGTCCTTTGGCCCAAGAGGAAAGCACCTCCCTCCTGTTCCCTGTGACCAGTCCTCCCGAGGGTGGGGACAGGCAAGTGGTTGCTTCAAGCGTCAATGACCCCACGAATCTTGTGGCTACAGAAGACAAGGCAGGCACCTCGGGCACCAACTCAGCCGAGCTGGAGTTTGGAGGGATTCCCAAAGAAGAAGACCCCCCTCACGAAGACCCGGCGTCCCTCTCTGCCTCAGGCTCCTTGAAAGAGCTCAGAAAATTGTTGACAGTGACCGTTGAAGTCCCGGTGGATACTGCTCTAGCGAATGAAAAAGATACAAGTGAGCAGACCCTTTTGTCTCAAGAAGATGAAAAGGAAGAGGAATCCCCCCAAATCTGCAACGAAGCCCAGGAGGCAGCCGGGTCCCCTGGGAATCACGGGGGAGGGGATGGAGTCAGCGAGAGGGGGTCCCTTGTTCCTTCGGCAGAGGCTGGTGGCATGGGATTGGGGAGCTTTCCTGAGGCCAGCAGTCCTGCCCCTCTGCCAGCCGAGGGGAGCAGCTGCTCGGGGCCCGTGGGTGAGCAAGCTGATGCTGGGGAGCCCCTGGACAGGGAGCTCC